GGAGTGAGATTGAACGTTCTGAAAATTTGTAACTCACTTGGTCTTTTCTACAGACAATCCAACAAGAATGTATCTTTTACTTGAAATGACTGGGAGCATTAGTAATGAGTATACTTTAGTTGGGCTTGTTTAACCCTCGAGAGTATTAAACATTTATTAGTGGATGGCTCAACATCCTGCCATCCCCGAGGGTGGGCTGGGACAGTTATTCTGTTTGCGTCTTCGCTCTGGCATCCCGTTTTCGGTTGCTGGGGTGAAACCTCAGTGACAAGATTAGGTCAGATTTATTCCTGTTCGAAACCTTTTGGTCTGTGGCAGAAGTGGAGCATCTTTTATCCCTCCAACTTCAAAAGGAGGTACACACTGAGATAGATAGTCACCGGCATACCAAGGCTATCGTGACCTTTGGATACTTGAAATCTGGTCGGCAAGCAGCTAAAGTTGAAAACCCTCATTTGAGAGATCCCAATAGCAGCGAGCCAACGAGCCAAAGTCCCCAGCTTTGAGTTCCCATTTAAACCGTCCAGTTTATGGCCAAATCTTTCGGACGTGCAAAAAAACGGGGACCATTATTTTTTGGTTGGGGTCATTGAAACACAAAAGAGGGGCAAATCCTTCCTACCGATGGCAGGTTGAAACGTCAAATTCAGTCACATTTCATATCTGATGATGAAATAAGATTAGACTAATGCGTATGTTTGTGTTTGTGTGAAAACCTTGCCGATGGACGACGGAATTAGTTGGATGTCCCCAGCAAAAATTAATTCAGTGTGGAGGGAGCATTTTGTTCACTCTTTCACATTTGCGCCCAGAAGCCCCAACCGCGTCTGTAATAATGGCGCTGGAGTCAAAACTGCGTAGATCAAACTGTAAATATTTGACAAATGTAGATTTGAATCATCCCGCAAACACACTTCGAACTCACACTCACGCTCACACTCACACCTACACTCACACCCACCCACCCACACACATACACACACACACACAGGAAAACATAAACAAATCCTTGAGCCTTGATTGAAGCCGCCCGATAGCTGGGCTGTAAAACGCAGCCCAACGGGTCCGGTGGTGTTTATTGTGCAAGTACGACTTTGAGGGGTTCATACCATGTGGGGCTGGAGGGTAGGGTAGGCCAGCATTTCCCACTTTTGGCCGGACCGTCCCATCTCGTTCGTACAGGCCAACAATACAATGGTCTCTCGGAGTCGGCACCAACCTTCGTCCCCTCGCACCGTCTTTCAGAGCAGGGCTCGTTTCCTCCTCCCTCGCCTCACTTTCTTTCCTACCTACCTCACCTCTTCTCTTTTCCTAGGCGTTCCCCCTACGAGGCCGCTTGCCACTCTTCTTTCACCTTTTCGTTCACTTCACATCGCCATGCCGACGGAGCATTCCAAAGTTGTAGGTTGCAAAAACGCCGTTTCACCTTTCCCGTTTTGAAGTGTCCCGGTGCCGGACCAACAGCGCCGGCCAACCGGGTTTTTCTTGCCTGCAAAAGAAAGCCGTTCACTTTGGCCAGATCGTAAAGCCTCACACCTCGGGGCAGTGGTGAAACCTGCCGCCCTCCGTCGGCCCCAACTCACCGAGCCCCCATCTCCACCGAAACGAGAGGTTGCCTGTAGGTCGTAGTCTGGACTGGGAAATTCTGCCAAGCCCTATTCATTGCCTTCAGAGCCAGTTTATAATGAGCATACAAGGCTCTTCTTCGACTACTGCTACTACTACTACTTCTTCTTCTAGACGCATACCGACGCTCGATTTGTAATTATACCTAAATTTATAAGTTAAACGTAAAATAATGTGCCAAAAGGTGTGATTTCTCACCTGCTAACCCTATCGGTTGGAGAGCGTTTAACTTTTTCCAATTGCGTCTCATCGCCGTGCCTTCTTTTTTGTCAATCTCCCCTCCTCATTTCACCGGGTTTTGCCGAACCACCCGGTTCCTTTCGCTCGAGACCAGAGCAGTGGTTTTCCGCAATTCCCGGTCCCGTTGGACGGCCGTTGGTGTGCGGAAACTGGACGCCTACCAACGCCTCGGTTGAGGCAGAGCCACGGCAGCAGTGCAGGCAACGGCCATGTGGCGTTGACAAAAAGCCGTGCGGTCTAAAAAGGTCAGCCACACCTTCCAGTATCAGTCTGGACTTTGATTCGCCCATTCACCCATTCGCCCACTCCACCCGCCTGTCGTCCAGACTAAACCGAACGCCGCTCTGGACGTTTGGTGCTCCTCTCCACCCCACAAGCTTGGACGGCACATTAGACTCCCACTTTTAATCAAGTCACCTCGGAGCAAAGTGGCAGGGCTAGTCTCGAGGATGATACAGGACTGTTGTCAGCCCAGTTCCTCTTGAGGGATTTGGGGTTAGTCACATCGAATTAAAGGGAGGGCTTGGACGTGCGAACAAATCCACGATTGCAGTCTACATCTCAGATGAGCTAAACAGACATCAGAGGAACTGCAGTTACTTAGACGCATACATGTCAAGACAAAGCTTGACGACGTAATGGAGCCAGTAACAGTAGAGGAGAGTTCTGGAGATGGTATGGATTATATCCAAAGGGAGTAAAGAAGAAATTGTGAGTAAGTGGAAAAAGTGCAGTAAAATGGAATTAAAAATGAAAAGGAAATATGACGGAGAATGGAGAAAGGAGAAAGGAGAAAAGATAAA